TGAGTTACAGATTGAGATTTATATGTACACATATGGTGAAAGTTCTTATCACATGAATGTTGGTTATGTTAGTATGTGGAGGTGAATTGAGATACTAAGTCAAACTGAATTTTACTCCCACGCTCATTCTTATTGAGACAATTTTGTCTCCCCTTCATATGAAAGCATTCTGCTACGAGACGTTCTTTATAATCTCTAAAGCCTATCTAAATAATTTTGATATTGTCAAGATCGATCTTGTGACCAGAAATTAAAGTATATAGAGCTATGGCTGATGTGTTTTCAAGTTTTCCAGTTACAATGGATCTCTAGGGAGTTGGATGGAAGCTTTCGGTGTTCATGTTTTCTAATTTTGATTTCATATTACGTTGCAGTGTGAGCATTATATTTTATAAATACAACTAGATCAGAAGTAGTATCTGTCATGGACTGACATCAGATGGGGAACCACTGAAAATCTGGGAGCACTGGACAGCTGTTCCCTCCTAGTATGCGACTCCTCACCAGTACGCACCCACAACCCGGCTACAGATTGAACTCAGGACCTTCAGGTTTTACGGCGAACGCGTTAGTCATTCAGCAACTGCGTTGGTTTCCGGTGGTTTAAAATCTCCAGCTTCTATCAATTCACGACATAGCGCGACTATCACTCAAGGTCTTCAGTTAGCATCCGCTTCACTTACGAAGTTATATATATCTGTATACACATTAAGCAAATACAAGTCGAATATGTAGATATATGTATCATTTAAGGTGGAATTCATCATGGACTGATATGATGTGGAGAACCATTGAGGGCCTGTGAATACTGAACAGGTATCTGTTCCAGGTATGGGACTACTCTGCAGTACACACCCATGACTCACCAGGGGTCGAACTCAGGACATTCATTTTCCAACGCTGAACGTGTGAACCATTCAGCTGCTGGATCAGAGTTCAGAAGGTCCACAGTTGCCTACTTCTGTCGATTTGCGATCATATATATATATATATATATATATATATATATATATATATATATATATATATATATATATGAGTAAGACAAGGCTATCTACTATCACCCATAATCTTCCTGGTTGTGGTCGACTGCATCATGCAGCAAACACTGGCTACACTGATGAAAAGACCCCACAAGAAGATTTGGATTTCGCCAACAACGATTTATGGCTAATGTCTTGTGGCACAAACTCAATGATCTACAGGCGAAAATCAACAAGTTGACAGAAGAGACAGGGCAACGAGGGAAGACGGGACTTCAAGTGAATGTAAAGAAGACGGAGGTGATGAAGATAACCAACCAAACAACAGCATCAACAACAAGCTCCAATCACCATCAACGGGAGAAACCTGAAGGAAGTAGTCTCTTCCACCTACCCACATTGGCAGCATCGTTTCAACTACTGGTGGCGGCACATGCACAGATGACGATGTCAAAGTAGCCAGGATCGGAAACACAGCAAGACACGGCTTCCTTCATTAATCTGAAATAATCAGTGTGGAGGTCGACTGCACCCCACTCCACTTCACTCAGCAAAATGTGATTGGGGACACCACGCGAGAGACAAGGCCAGACACTAGAGTGGAATCTAAGGGAGAAACGACGAGTTGGGCGTCCGTGGCTATGGTGACATGGAGGAGATGATGTGAGGAAGAAATGAAATTTTTTGGGCCGTGTTGGAGCGACGTTCAAAAGACTGGAGAGAAGAGAGTGTAATGGAGGTGTGTCACTGAATCCCTATGTCCCATTAGGAATCCAAGGAGAAAATAATAATATTATATATATATATATATATATATATATATGTAGCCTTAACTTTTATCAGTGGCCGTAAGCTTTTATGATTTGTACGTGACATAGTCTTGTATAGTTTACTCTTCAGTGTATTTTGTATACTATGCATAATGCGAATAAAGTATATACTAAAATTTTTAATGTCAATTATATACGTGACATTTTCTCCATTTAGTTGTTATACTTGAAAGGTTGAAATGTGTGTATCAGTCTTTAGCGACTGTTAGATTTTCTCAAGCGGAAAGAAATGTACTTCCATTTAATAGAATCAAGTGGTTGAAAAAATTTTCACATGTATTCCATTTTACCGCGTTTATTGTCTTTGAAATTCAAGATCTTAATTATTATTCATCTACCAAAATTTACTTTCTGTTATGAAATTATTCTTTCATTCTTTTTTTCTGTTTATCACTTTAAATTTGTTGAAAATCTACGATTTTAGTTCACTTTATGGTGTCTGGAAATTCTCTTTTGATATACCCAACTATGGCTTAATGAAATCTCAGCCTAGAAGTATTCTCAAAACGTCTGTTTAAGTCAAAAAAAACATCGAGTTTTTAATAACTTGCCAGAAAGAGAAAAAGAAAAAAAAAAGTTTTCTACAACATTACACGTTGTTACTGCTTTTGTAGTGGGAGCTGCTGATCAGAATGAATGTAAGTAGTATATGTTGACAGGGCAGCAGAAATCATAGGCAAATACCAGTGATGGGTAAATATTTCGCTCAGAGAAAGATATGAGACAATATAAGCATATTAAGAGCAAGTCAAGAGAGAAGCAGAAGAGGAAACGAAGCCCAGTGGAAGAATAATTGTCTTAGTGGAAAGTGTATAATATTTCATCACAACTGTACAAGATGTTAATAATAAATGTTCCTCCCTGTGCTTCCATCTTGTCGTTTCTTACACTTTCAACTATCTAAAAATGCAACCAGTATGCTGATTTTTATGAACCATTAGGAGAGACAGTGGTTTTCAGTGATTAGATCTCGGAAATGATCTTTCTAAAATTAAATCTTGGTAAAATTTGTTAAATATTAAGCCTACTTTTTATATGACTCATTGCATACAACTGTGAACGTCATTGAGATGCACTGTGGTGATATGGCTCCTCACTTTATATGTTTGGCTTTATAGCAATGAACTTGTCTTCATGCTGTTCGATCTGAATCAATCAATAAACTCATATGGATTATATCTCGGTACATAAAACTGAACAGTCTTAAACTACAGTGAAGTCGATTTTAATGGTAACAATTGAAGAGCAATTTGTAAATTATTTCCAAAGAAAAGATACAGGAAAATAAAGATTACTGAGCCTCTTTTTATCATGTCAAGAATGGATGTATTTTCCAACCTATCCTGACTAACAAATAACTGGAGTGTTTGGAAGAACATGAGTACCAAATCCAATATGACTCAGTGAACGACGTATATTTTACTAGTGTAATCCCCGTGGTAATATATAAGAACAAAAAAGAAAATAAACGAATAGTTTGCACTATTCTTCAACGCTTGAGTCTCTTGACGAATTCCTTCTTAAAGAGTATGAATCTGATGCTAACCTTTCAGGTTAATATTCAAGTTTACTACAAATGGCCTTTCTAATCACCTGGATGAATGATCACTCACAGCAAAGATCAATACAGTGTAAGTAGATGATTAAACAGATGGGTCAAAGAAGCTTACTTAAGTTGTACGGATAAACTTCTTGGGTTTCAATATAGTAAACTTCGATACTTCTTATATCCGTCTTTCATCTCATAAGTAAGTTAAGAAAGGTTTAAGCTGACCGAGAAAGGACTGTTTTATTTACTTTTGCTTTGCTTCATATGATATGTAATCTGAAAAAACAATCATAGTTGAGTGGATGGAATTAGTGGGATATTTAGCTCTTGAAGCTCCTGAAGTCTTTCGGTGAGTTTATGTTTGCTTCAAGTTTGAAACACTTTAACAATCTAAAGACTAACATTCAATTTGGATTAAAAAAATAACTTTCTGAAGGAATCTGAACCATACCAGTCTAAGCTTCAATACAACATCCTGTTAGTCTCCATGTAGATGATGAAATTGGGGTTTAATTCAATAACACAATGGATTGATTCAAAGCTGGTACTTATGAGCACCTACAACACAGAAAAGTATCGAAATTTTTGAGGCATCTTACAAATAGCATACTATGAATAATATTTCATTTAACACAAAGTTCTATATATAGTAATGATATGCAGTGTCTAGCAGTGGAATCTAGAATGCGCATTTCATACTAATTGGGACTTGTCAGCTGGATGTGTCTGCCTCCCTTTCGGTGAGTGATGTTGTTCCAACCAGGATTGGGACTCGTGAGAGATTGCTTAAAACGCGAGAGCGTTATCCACTACACCACTGAGCCACGATAGCTAATTCTTGTGAGACGGGTATAAGTTTAGTGTGACTGCTTGTATTACACCGTCATTGACTGGACTGAATTGATCGACCTCTCTTGGCATATGAGCTCCTGTGAGAATGCCTCGATATTGCCTGTCTTTGAACTATGTATAGTAATGATGGGCAGTGGCTAGCAGTGGAATCTAAGATACAAGCAATAATACTAAAACTATACCCGTCGCACAAGAAGTGGCTATCATGGCTAGGTGGTGTAGTGGACAACGCTCTCACGTTTGAAACGATCTCACACGAGTCTGAGTTCTGGTGGGAACAACATCACTCACTGGGAAGCAGGTACATCCAGCTGACGAGTTTCAATTAGTATGAAATGCGCATTCTGGATTCCACTGTTAGCCAATGCCCATCATTACTATACATAATTAAAACACTGGCAATATCGAAGCATCCTCACAGGAGCCCAAATGCCAACAGAGATTGATCAGTTCGGCCCAATCAAAGACGGTGTAATACAAGCAACTACACAAAGTTGTATAGTTACTAATCTACTAAGGAACATCCCAAATCTTCGGATCCTTCGATCACAAAAACTAAATATTAGGTTCTTAAAAGCTCGTTCCATGCATCTGAGATATGAAATCACACATGTAGTTAGAAAAAGTCTTGTTTGGTGCATAGGCCGCCTTTAATTAGATCAATCTACTAATTGGCACTCAATAAATAAGGTGTTGAAGTCATTTTTGGCTAGTGTCATTCGGCAACAATCCGTCTAAACATTCAAAATAACAGTTTAAATTTGTAGTTTAAAAGATTTCACTTACTTTTAACAGGTTCAACATCTAATTCATTATTTGTACTAAGACCGAGTAGAAATGATAAAGTAAGCGTATTTATGATTAGCATTATATCCATAATATGAATGATGTACACTTTTCTGCTATCGATAAATATAAATTGTAGTAATTAATAAATTCCTCATTTTCTTTGCTTATTTAAACAATCTAGAGTTAAAAACAAACTGTTCAATGTTACTGTGAAATTAATAAAAGGCAAAAATATATTAGATTATTACTAGCTAATTTTCAATTGGTCAATTTAACAACCAATTAAAATGATGGCCAATATTTTATGAATTATGATATGAACCAAAATTTTCGAAACTGAGTTTTATCTTTCTGATACGGGAGATAAAAATCAAACTAAGAAGAGAAATTACTTTTCATAGTGTAATACATTGAACTGATGAATCAGCAAGGTTTTTGCTATGTTCAAGTAGCGAATGCATACTTCCTTCCAAGGAAGATTCGCCAATAGAACACAGTGACAGCAGTTTATAAGATGCCCAAAGAACTGAAACTCTAACCTAAAATCAATTAATAACCCCCTACAAACCTCCAAGTAGATGAAATTTAGTGCTTATTGGTGACTAGCTTCCAGAGGTAATCCTGAAGTCCCAATAAGAAGTCATGACCAGTGAAGTTAACCAAGTTGAATGTCAGGACAGTTACTCATCGACGACATTGAATATAGGTCACGCTATATGATGAACTGGCAGAAGTGGGAAATATGCACAGTTGGATCCCGAATCAGTGGTCCAATGTTAACGTGCTGGCTACGCGATCTGAAGGTCCTGGGTTCGACCCCAGTCGAGGTGAGGTCATTGGTTCTCACTGCTGAGGAGTCCCGTATTAGTGTGACAAAACAACTGTCCGGTCCTCCCAGGTTTCCAATGTTCCTCCGATTGGTGTCAGTCTGGGATGAATTCCTATCTAAAGCCTGTTCTTGAATAGCTCCGCCACTTTATTGCTTTTGAATCTAATATTCATTAAATCGTAGGGATCTTTTCTCGAAAAAGTTTTGATTTCATTTTCATATCTAGGAAATTTGAAGAATAACCTTTCTCAATGAACACTTTCTGTAGGACCACTAGCATGTCAAACTCTTCTGCACAGTGAATGAACTAGATTTTTTATCTTACGAAGTGGGAAATAACTTTGAAAATTGGTTTCTTGTACATTCTAGGTACATTCTAATGGTGACTTTGAAAGCTGAAGCTACAAGGCAGTATACTGCGATGAGAAGATACTTTTTTACCCATTGGAGGGATCTTTACAGGTTATTCTGATCAGTAGTAGATACAACCCTGATATTTTTAGAGAAAATTAACAGTTATGAATAGGAATAGTACGTTTTAGCATCCCCTCTTAATAGTGAAATACGAAGATGACTAAGAAAGGTTTAAGGTAATCATATGAAAACACACTATAACTCCTTACCATCTCTTGTTTATGTTCGAAATTGTATTTTGAGAGACTTGTGGGGATTTGGAAATATTTCAAGTTGTTATTCATCGTAGACAGTCACATAAGTTGGAGGAATAAAGGGAACCTGGGAGCACTAGACAGCTGTTTCGTCACACTAGTATGGGACTGCTCACCAGTGCATACCCACGACTCCGCACCACAGGGATCGAACCCACGATCTTCAGGTTCCGTGGCTATCTAACAGAAGTTGGAAATATGGACCCAGTGGCTCAATGGTAACGTGGTGGCCACGAAACCTGAAGGTCGCGGTTTCGATCTTTGTGGTGCGGGGTCGTGGGTGCATACTGGTGAGGAGTCCCATACTAGTGTGACGAAACAGCTGTCTAGTGCTTCCAGGTTTTCCTTGTTCCCCCAACTGATGTTGGTCTACGATGAATAACAACTTAAAAATGTATTTCTCCAATACATTACACTTTTCAGATAAACTTTATCCTCCTTACACATTATGCAAATACATTACGGCGACTAGCGATTTCAAAAAGACATTATTAATTGATGAGTATAATAGAAAATATATTTGTTTCATATAAGACTGAATATTTTTGATCTAAATCAAGAAAAAATATACAGTATTTTCTTCAGCTATTGTTATTTTTCATTAAGAAGATATGAATTTCCTATAGATTTTCTTAAAAAAAGAGAGATTGAATAGGATTTTATTGAAAAATAAAATTACAATTATTTTTGAGATGATCTTAGTTTAGAGGTGCTATTCATCATGAAGTGACATCATTTGGAGGAACATTGGAAACCTCTTTCATCCTAGTAAGGGACTAGCTTATTAGTACGCATCATTCATCTCAAAAATATAATACTCATTAGTGACATGCATCCAGATGGATATCATGGAGTTCTAATGAGAATTCATGATCTGTAGGGCCAGTCAGTCGGAAAGGACGCGGATACTAATTGAAGACCTTGGGTGATAGTCGTGCTATATTGTGAACTCACAGAGGTTGGAAACTGTGAACCACTGAAAATCAAGCGACGGCTATACGGTTAACAAATTCGCCATGAAACGTGAAGGTCCTGTATTCGATCCGTAGCCGGGTCATGGGTATATATATATATATATATATATATATATATATATATATATATATATATAATTTATAGCCTGCAGGCAGCTGAAGAGAAGGCGACGAAACACAATGAATTCCTTGTATTCTGCTAAAATTGTTCTAGATTTGTTAAATTTTTTAGGGAAACAGGTTGTATGAAACTTACTTTCAGTCAGGACTTTTGCATGTTCGAACACTGACCTAACTATCTGGATTCGTGCAATCAGTCAGTATCACTAGCCATGACACAATAGTTCGCTATCTATTGCATGGATATACACATAGTTGTTGAATGCATTTCGTGTTTTTACTTTCAATCTTTCGTTAAAAGCTAAGAAGTTTACTTCTGAACTCATTTTTTTAAAGTTTGCATGTTTTATTTCAATGATTACCTTCAGATTTATTTTTTGTTACGCATTTTATATGTTATTTTTGAAATAAAATCTTTATATGATGTAATATTTGTACTGGATGATGATTGGAGGTGAGATGAAAATCTGGACCGCGACCGGATTTGAACCAGCGACCACTGGGTTACCGGACCGATGCTCTACCAACTGGGCTAGGAAGTCCGACTGCTAACCAGAATTTATTTCAGTTCAATCACCAACGGTTTTACCCGACTACCATGTGAACAGTTCGTGACGTGTTACTACCGCTTGATTGTATTCATACTGGCTGCCTAATCAGGACCTCTCATCCCAATCCAAATCTAACTGAATCAAAGAAGGGGAGCATCATATTGATCACCATTCTCATCAGATTTTTATCTCACCTTCAATCACCACCCAGTACAAATAATAGTCCATCAAACTACGTTTATCTCAAACGGTCAAAAGATATTTTTAATTCAAATGTTATTTCATTATGCAATGCACACAACACACACTAGAAGTAGATCTTATAAAGTTATATAGTCATGATAGGTGGATAGTATTTTTTTTTATAACATCCACGTTAAAATTAAATCCTGTGTAAATGTCATTTCATCGCAAAGTCAGTAGGAGGTCTAAACCACTTCCGGCCCACTAACCAAATTTTGATCACCTACCTAGTGTGAAGTAAACAACTTAAAGAGACAATTTATAGGAAAAAGATCCGGTCAATAATATAGGTGATGTAAAGAGGTAGGTATTTCACGTGCGTTATGATGTCAGCAGGTCAGTCGGGTTTAATAATCACGCCTTTCAAAAGTTTACCATCTTATGGAATAAGATAGATACTTACAGTGGCTGCCTGTGAATACGTTACTTTCTCAGTAGTTTACATCCATTGCTTCTGAACTTAGATAGCAGAAATCCGAGCATGTAAGGTGTGCGTTATGCACCTGTTCACTATTGATCTTTAACCTTTCTCAGTTTATTGATGTACATTGAAGCAGTGGAATGTGTCAACCACTTCACTTACTTTGTAAATTACATCAGCTCAAACAGGGTGATTGTTGATGAAATCTCAGCTCTGATTCAGAAGCCTCATTCAGCATCTCCCAGCTTGTGTCGTCTGTATTCCCGGCGATATATCCTGCTATCTATCAGAGGGCGAGGATACTGCGCTGCAGTCCTTTCTGTTCTTTTGTACGGCTGTCAGACATGACCGTTAAAGGAAGAAAACGTGGAGCGATTACACTGTTTTGATCATAGGTATCCTCGTAGCATTGCTCACATTTGGCGGAATCCCTGAGTGAACAGTGTTGAGGTAAGGCGAACGGCACTAAGAATACAGGCAAGTCGATTATTGAGGTCGTGAATCTTAATTGACTGAGATGGCTCAGACAAGTACTGCGCATACCGAGCCACCGCCTGCCTCAACATGTCATCCTAGGGGACATTGCACTAAGTTGGAAGAGGGTTCAGGGTGGTCACACCAAGAAGTGGCACCAATCCATGATGTTACTGGCTGTCGTTCTGAGCCATGTGGGGAGTTGTAGGCTAACTGGCGTGGTCCCCAAGAAGACAGCAAGCAGCGATTGTGGATTCTTGGTGAAATTGTCGAAAATTAGTCTCAGTGGGGTAGATGTGTTCTATCTACGACGTCTTCTTAAGCTTGAATATTTTGCACCAATAGTAATTTTCAACTTGCTTATTGTCATACACAACTCCGCCCATTCTGATATCACTCTTTTTCTATCCACCTGCTTTTTTATACTAATGTGAAGTGTGTCAACTTGAACTTATCCACTTGTGTGCGAGGTTCTAGGTGAGTTTTCTTTATTATAAGTTTTGAGCATAAAGTGGAAGTTGATAGAAAGAATTGTTTACTGAGTTTATTCTTATTCCGAATTATATATGAGGTTATTTTCCATTGTTCATACAAAGTAAAAAACAAACAGAGATTAGTGTGTATGAATTAAAGTTGGCATGTATTCAATTCTATTTGCAAATATGAAGTTCATAAAAATGATTCAAACTTTTATTGAATGTACAGGACACTCTGTATCTAATGAACTTTATTAAAGGGACCGAATCCACTAAGTGAAGATATCTAGTGAAAAATAATCTTTTCTGATGATTTCTAGGAAGAAAGTTGA